GTATATATATATATATATATATATATATATATATATATATATAAGTGCATGTCAGAAAGTGCATGTCAAAATCAATATATATATATATATATATATATATATATATATATATATATAAATGCATGTCAGAAAATGCATTTCAAAATCAATATATATATATATATATATATGTATATATAAAAGTGCATGTCGGAAAGTGCATGTCAAAATCAATATATATATATATATATATATACACACACACACATATGTACATATCAAAATCGTCTTCAGCTTAAAAGGATTAAACCTTACAGAGCAAAGGTTGTGCAAAGAAAGTTGCTAAGTGACTGCTTCCTCTCCTTCCCATCCACAACAACTGAACTCCCACAAATAGCACAGAGAGCTGCAAAGGTTGAAGAAGTGGAAAGCAACTCGCCTTGGCAGTTCAAACCTACGCTCGCAACCACCCTTTTTGGTCTAGCACCCAGTTCAACGGGCAGCAGACGTGGAGAACGCAGTGTAGCAAGGAAGCAGTGCGTGCGGTTACCAGCAGCGCAGGATTGCAGGGCAGGGCAGTCGGGATGCAAGAAGGTAGGCAATGCAGTGGCTGTGCAATGTTTGTGCGGTGACGATTCGATCCCATATAAATACATATATATATATATATATGTGCACATGAACCCAGAGAAGCGAATGAAGTGCAACGACTGTGCAAATAATGTTGCAGTGACTGTGCAAATAGCAATCCGCATGCAGTGAGGAATGTAATGAGATGACTGTGCAAACAGAAATGCGCATGCAGTGAAGAATGTAATAAGATGACTGCAAATAAAAAAATAAAAAAAAATGGTTCGCATGCAGTGCAGCCAGGAACCCAGCGGTGCCAGTCTGTCATACTCATCATCAGAACAATGTACACGCATACAAAAAGAAATTGCAAGCTACTATTAGCAAGTCAAGAAGGAAAAGGAAAAGAGGTGGTGGCGACAGAATTATTGCAAAGAAGAAAATAAGGGAAGGATGGTGCACAACACCACTTGCAAAAGTGTGATTGGAAAAAAAAAAAAAAAAGGGAAGGATGGTGCACGGCACCACTTGCAAAAGTGTGATTAAAAAATAAATAAATAAATAAATAAATAAATAAAAGAAATAACACATCTTGGTGATATATATGTTTTATCTGTATTTAGCACAATACACTGAACAAAATAAAGCCTATCCATTGATCTCCGAGAAATTACAAATGCGTACAAAAAAAAAAAAAAAAAAAAAAAAAAAAAAAAAAAAAAAGAAGAAAAAGATGGAGCTTTCACAAAGGTTGCTCACGTGAAACCCCACTACTTGGCAAAACTCCAGGAGCGGGAGACATTGAAGATAGATCATTTGAGGTCTCAATACTTGGTTGAACGCTAGATGACGAAGGCAAAAGGTGCCTCCGAAAAAAAGCCACAAACCTTTGACGGTCACTTTGAATTCGACCTTCAGATTCCTGCAGCTGATCAAGCTTTCTCTTCATGCTCGTCGAATAATTATTTGCAAGCATGTGCAAATCACTATTCTCGCGCTTAAGCTGTTTGATCTCTTGTCTAAGATTTTCCACCTCTGCCGTCAATGATTCAACTTGACGGGTTCGAGCAAGTAGGCGTTGGCCCATGTTGGACACAGAGCCCGCACACTGAACACTGAGAGCTAGGGACTCTTGAACGGCCAACTCATCGGACCGTCTTGAAAGTAGCCTATTATCTCTAGGAGTGAGGAGGTTCCTAGCTACTACCGTAGCCGTTGTTGCATCCTTCATCACGGAGTCTTCACCTGTAAGAGGGCCATTAGAAGATAAAAAAGACGAGCACCATATATTACCCTGACGCGGCGCACCCGTATCATCGCTGAGACTCAAATCTAAGCAAATGTCAAATGGGTTAGCCATTTTCAAAGATGTTTAAGGGAAAACGGTGGGATGAAGTAAAATCTTAAAAAAAAAAAAAAAAAAAAAAATACACCGGAGACGATTTTCACGAGCAGGCAATCTTCAAAGTGTGCATGTTGGATGTGATCGATACCTCTATAAAGGGAGAAGCAACACAACCACCAATTCAAAAAAAAAAAAAAAAAAAAAATCGAAGAGACACCACTCTTCAAATCTTAAAAGCCGGATTTTCCTGCGTAAAGTTCGTCAACGCTCTTCAGATGCAATCTCAGCTTTTCTATAACGCGTGCAACTTTGTCAAAGATCTCTGACAAAGTTGAAAACGCGTGGAGGTCATTATCCCAACTACCACGCTTTTGCCGACAAGCGTGGGTGACAAAGCCGCACCTGCACTACTACTTGCCATTAAAATTCCTATATATGTCAACATTCATGGCAAAGCATACATCCAAAAACGCATGACTCTTCTTCTCGGCTGAGAATGTAGCTGCAACCAAACCTCTCAATATGCTCAGTTTTCTTCTTCCCTTGAGAACAACTATTCAACCAAGTCTTCGAGAGAAAATGTATCCCATATCATTAGGGTCGAAAGCAAGAGTATCTCATAGCATGCCTTCCCCTCGTCCTTTCCTTTGTTCTTGTTCTTCCCTGAAAGACAAAGAGAGAGAGAGAGATCAGTCGGCACTTGGAATCAAGCTTCCCGTTTGGAACCGACTGCCTGGAACCCCTTCCCTGATTGCTTATCCAGCACTGCTCTTAAGTATTCATCTTCAACTGTTGATGTACCCCCAAAGAAGATACCAGATGCCTGGAGTACAGATGAGGCAGGAGGAAACGGTAGATCGAAGCATGTGGAGACAAGCGCAACAAATATATGTGCTGATTCATCCGCTGCTTCTTCAAAAGCAAAAGTATCTCATATCATCAAGGGCGAAAGCAAAGGTATCTCATATCATGCTTTTTCCCTGTCTTTTCCTTTGCCCTTGCTTTTGCTTGCAAGACAAGGAGAAAGAAAGCAATCAGTCAGAACCCCAAATCAAACTTCCGATCTGGAACTGATTGCCCAGAACCTTTGCCTGGTTGCTTACCTAGCGTTGCTCTCGAGTGCTCGTCTTCAACTATCGGTGAGTCTCGAATTCCCTTAGCACATACTTCAGGACAGGTGACGGAATGTCGGCTCTTTACACTAAAGCTGCCAAGCATGGATGAATCGCTGAGAAGTGATGCTCTGAAAGACCATTTAAAGGCAAAGGGTTGCGCACCACCTTGACTATGTAAAAGAAACAAGCGGAGAAGAATGTGGTACAAGGAGCTGGAACAAATTGCTGGAGCGCGACGCCTTCCCCTGCAGAACCATCCAGACAGAGGAGTTTAAGTCAAATCCAAGCTCGACATCATTGTTCTAATCAAAGAGCTCGAGAAGCCTCAACAACCCTCCGCTGGCGCTGTCGCCAAAGAGCAAAGCCTCGCCGCGTGACACCGTTAAATCGTCAATACTTCTTCAAAAGCAAAAGTATCTCATATCATGCTTTCTCCATGTCCTTTCCTTTGTCCTTGTTCTTACCCACAGGGCAAAGAGAAAGAGAGCAATCAACCGGCACTTAGAATTAGTCTTCCGATCTGGAACCGACTGCCTGGAATCTATTACCTGGTTGCTTACTTAGCGTTGCTCTCGAGTAGTCATCTTCAACGGTTGATACACTTCCAGAGAAGATACCACATTCGCCTGGAGAACAGCTAGGACGAGTGACAATGAAACATCAATCTTGTGGATCGTCAGCAAACGCAACAACTGCACATGCTGATTCATCCCCTAACCCTCTTCAATATGAATTGGAAAGATTGAACAAAGAAACAGGTCATCACCTCCACCTCGTGCTTGCCTGCCATGTGTCTGAATCCTGAAACCGCTCATGGTCCTATTTTCACGCAAGATCAAGCCTCGATGACCCTTGAAGAAATCACAAGTCCGATTCAAAATCAAGTGTTCACCACCCTTGAATCAAATTCAACTCCAGATAAGAAGAGTTCAGACCTTCGGAGGAGACAAAAAAAAAAAACCCTCCAGCCCAGTTCAAGATTAAGCCTGTGGAAAATCAACGATTGGAGGAAACCAGAAAATCTTCCAGTCGAATTCAAGTTCAAGCCCCGACGGCCCTTGAATAAATTTCCAGCCCAATTCAAGATCAAGCCTCGACGGTCCTTGGGTTGACATCTACATTAAGGGACTTCAAAACGCATCTTCTACACGTGACAAACACATGTATACGACGCGCCTTGAAGTGGGGGCATTTGTAGACACCGAAATTTCAGTGAAATAAATGTTAACCAATGTATTAAAATTACAACCTTTATTCATTTCACTTACATCACACATTCATTTCACCTACCAACTCCACTCACTTCACCAAAAAAATGGATGGTGGTGATTCACTCTCTTGGCCTATAAATAGCCTTTTCCATCAAGAGAAAAGGGGGAATTTACAAACCTACACCAAAACCTTGAAGCCTTGAAACTCTAAAGCTCTCAAGAAAATCCCGAAGGATCAAGAAAGCACTCTTCGTTCTTCGTCAAATCCTCATTCAAGATCAAGCCCCAACGGCCCTTGAAGAACTTCCACCGACTCAAGATCAAGCCCCGACGGCCCCTTGAAGAAAGTGTTCATCATTCATCATCCGTTCATCCTAAGATCAAGCCCCAACGGCCATTTGGATCAACAATCTCAACAAACCTATACACCCATTCTTCAAGATCAAGCCCAACGCCCCTTGAAGATCCATTCATCAACTGTTCATCCCTAGATCAAGCCCCGACGGCCCTTTGGATCAACAGCTCATCCACAAACCTACACCCTACGAAGATAGAATCAGAGGATCAAATTACAAAGAGATTGTAACCCCAAAAATCATTAATACAAAAATATATTTTGTACACGTATTCTTGTTTCTTGTTTCAGGAATTTTTCGTGTTTACACGTATTTCTGTTGAAATTGTACAATTAAATTTTCAAGAATTTGAGTACGGATAGTATTGAATAATATAAGATGTTTACTAATTTACACAAATTAGAATGAAATCCAATTTGATTACCAAATGCCTCTATTCCCGAATCATGTCCTTGCTCATTTCACATAACCTACCTATAATTATATCCAAACTCAAAACAAAGACGATTTAAATTAACCTCAATTCATTTATTGATAACTGACAAGAAGTGTCAAATACTTAATTGAAAACATAACGTTTCACCATGTCAAGCTAACAAACCAAGCTCTACAAAATGCAAGTGGTCATTTACCACAATAGTGGAAAGGTGTTGAGCCCTTGTATAACGGCATGAGTTTAAACTCTGTCGATAACTAATCTAACCTCTAATCTAACAAAATCTATCGTTTGACAAAAAAAACAAAAAAAAGCTCTACAAAATACCTCGTTTGTTACCTCTTTCCCGCAACTGATCCACATATAATAACTTGTAACTAGAAACATCTACAGATAGGTAAAATCCTTGTAAAAATTACAAAACGAAAGGAAGTAAAAATGAAAGCTCAAACAAAACCTATCAATGGCACATAATTAAATTGAATCGGCAAATTAATAAACCTATATTAGGGAAATTAATATTTCAGTAGTCCAAAGAGAACCTTTACTTTTTTTTTCTTTTTTGTCAAACATAATCTTCATTGATAGAAGAAAATGTTATCTGAGATAAACTTAAAAGAAAAAGTTGTTAGTAGGCCAAGTGGACAAAGAAGCCCAAGCAAACCACATGATGGTCCAATTAGGCTCTATAAGTTAATAGAAGTCGTCATTGCCAGAACCATTATTTACCTCACCAATTCATCGTTTGGGTCAACCGATACGCGATCAACACTAACAAAAAAAGGGCCATAAAATTTAACCACATATGCAAATAAGCCCCAATTGAAGAACAAATCTAATCCCTAATTACACAACAACAAAGATGCACAAAGAATACACAAATTTGCCTGTAAAATACTCAGTAAAAGAAATAAGCAACCCATCCCAACAACCATATCAATCACCCGAGGACCAACAAGGAAAAACTTCTGATGCCAACAAAGTAAAAAGACAAAACACCATCAAAACCGTAGAAGGAGGCAGCTTGAAGACCTAAACCAACTGCAGAGCGATTTTGCACACCTTTATCTGAGTGAGTGATGACTCGCTCTCGAGGTGGGTAGTAAACACATTGGCTATATGAGGCTTCTCATTTGAAAGCAAGCATCTAGCAGACAAATGGAGGATTTGTGGATCGAGGAGTAGGAGAATAGAGGAGCGTGGAGCAAAAAATAATCCAAAAATTCATGGAGCTGACACGTGGATTATTGATAGGAGCATATTCATGCGACTTAAATGGCTTGTTCTCGTGCATTTACGTTATGTTTCTCTCGTTATTTTAGTCCTTTATGCTTCTTTTGTGTGTTTTCAGGTTCTAAGGGCCTAGGGAGCAAGAAAGTGCATTTTGAGGCCATTTGGAGCATTTTTGTGCATGATTTGGATAGCTTAATCATGGAGCAAAGAGGATGGACGAAATTGAAGCCTTGTATGCTCTTTGGGGACATCAAACAAAGGGCCTAGCCCAATCAAACAAATCCTTTGAGCCATGGAAAACCTCTAGCCCAATCAAACACATTATGCCATACAAACCAACCTATTTTAGGCCCATTCTATGTACTTAAACCCTAGCCCTTTAAACTAGTTCATTTATCACTTATCAAACCATTCACTTATCACTCACCACATATCATTCACTTATCACTTAACATATCATTCATTTAATTCACTTCCATACTCCTCTTAATTCCACATGCATTCTCACACATGCACATCATTCACTCACATTTCCACCATTCATTCTTTATTCCTTTCCAAACATCTCACATGCATTTCCACCTTCCTACTTCATCATTTCCACCACTCATTCTTCATTATTTCCTAACCCTACATGCATTATTTATTGCATCTTCACATGCATTCACACACACTTTACACATTCAAACCGTGAGCTCCCATTCCTATATGCCATTTTCAGATTTCCACCCACTAACCTAGTCATCAACACATGCACTTCCACCTTTCATCCACAATGATTCATGATTCATTCACTTTGCATCCTTTAATTCAATCACATACTTTCCCATTGTATAATACATCCACATGCATCTTTAACCAACAAACATTACAACCACATGCACCCTTTTCTCCACATTCCAAACATTGCCGTGTATCCCCTTCATCAATTCCAGCATCTTCACATGTCTTCTAGCTTTCCCTTTCATTTCCACCACTCATTCTTCATCATTTCAGCCACCTACATGCATTAATTATTAAACTCTTCATCATTGCATTCAGAAAATGAGCAAGAAAGCTTCTCAATGCCGTGTATCCCCTTCACCATTTCAGCACATTCCAACACCTTCACATGCAATTCCAGTTTTCACATGTTTTCCTAACTGATTTTCCATCATTAATTAGCCACTTGCATCTTAAACAAACAGCCATATGTTCCCTCCACTACTCCTATAAATACCCTTGCATTCATTCATTCAAGATCATCTCATTTTCATACACAACACACCACAAACACTTCCATCTTCTCCCTAGCCGTGAGTCTCTCCATTTTCTGCACCATTCCCTTCCCTTTCTCCTCCATTTCTTCCATTTCCATAATCCCCCAATCCATTCAACACACCAACAACATCCCTTAGTCCTTGTGCTCAAACGAAGACGAAGAGAAGAGGGCCTAAACGTTCATACAATTCAAGTTTGAGTTGTTGGAATGTTTAGGTGTTTCTTTGATTTCAAAGTTATGAGGAACTAAACCCTTTTTGGCTAGGGGTGATTTCAATACCATGTTTATTTATGTGATATGAATTGATGAATTCCGGTTATGAACTCTTGATTCGTGAATGCAATTGGCTTAACTATTTGATGATTAACTTATTTGTGTTTGTTGATTGAGGGTCGACACTTAATTAGCATGCATGAATATGTGGCTAAAGTTTAAGAAGGTTTCACATAATCGTTACTAACTTATACTTGAAAGTAGTGAAGGTCGCTTGTCACGATCGCGTTAAGTTTAATTCTTAGCATGAGTAACATGATGTCATAGTTACAAATGCTTTGTCAATGCTTATGGTTTTCATTATTCTTAATGATCTTCGATTGTATCTCTATTATGATGACATGTAGGGAACTTTTGAGAATGTTTTGGGTTGTCGAATGATGCCATCCAATCCAATAATATAAGGGAAAATCTAAGGGTTAACTAGTGATGTCACGGTTAATTTGGGGCATTGTCGTTCATAATTCAATGAAGGAATAACTGGAAATTGATTCATATGCATAAATATCATGCGTAGAGAAAGAACCCTTAGCTAGCTTCCCATCCATTCATTTCCGTCAAATCCATATTTACAATTTGTTTTGTTTCCAAGTATTCATTTTAGTTTAAATTCGTCCAAATCCAATTCCCCCCTATTTCGTTGAAGTCTTAGTCTTAATCTTTCTTATTTTTAGTTTTGCTTTCTTCGAGCATTAAATAGTGTTTTATATTGTGTTTTTATGTTTTTAAGTCAATTTAGAAGGTTTTAGCAAGCCCTCCTAATCCCCGGTCTAGAACGATCCCTCACTTATCCATTCTACTACAATTGTCAAACGAGGGTTTAATTTGAGTGTCAAGTAATTCTCGCATCAATTATTCACTAAGAAAGACAAGGTAGCCCCTATTAAATGAGTAAGGAGCAGTCTCATTCACCACGCGCAGTTGAGGTAGAAAAGGCAGAGATCAACGACTATGAGGCAAAGAAGGTAGAGAAAGTTGCCCCTATTAAATAATCTTGGGTGTCATTATTTTGTAAGTGTGTATTCGTCAATCAAAGGAAGGCGGAAATTTACATCCACAAACTGGTGCTTTCATTAAGAGCTCTAATTCAAAGACTCAAAGAAAACTGTCGTTTTCAACTTCCTTTGTTCGTAGATCCACGACTACGATGGCAAGAAATTCAGAAACTACAACCCATGAGACCTTCTACGTTGAAGGATCTGGACCATAGATGGAGATTGTGATGTGGCTCCACACTGTTGCTCATCGAGGCTTACCACGACAATGACCGCTCATTTGCTTCCACGAGGTATTGTGGCTATGCCGGCAATGGCAGCCGCCGCTATAGTGGCCCACAAGGCAGCCTCCACTCATCGCGAAGAAACCCTAGGGCAGGAGGCCCACAACACAAGTAGCCAACAAACGCAGGCTTAGGCAGCTGCTTGCTCTTAACAACAGCCTCTAGCGCTTACCACATTCACTTGGACGTGAACTGCCCAGACCAAAGCAGCCCAAGCAGCGTCAACTGTGACGCAAGCTACAGCCCAACGCGCCTCCAACTCACGGCCAAGCAAGACAAACCTAGGCGACTAAGCGCCCATAAACCCGACCTGCTCCTGCTGCACTCTAAATGGTTCAGCATGGTCCTAGACTAGTTTAACCTGCCCATATCCAGATTTCGAGGTCAACGGTTAAACCAAGGGTATTTTCACCCCACCTTACTACAGATCTGACCCATCCTGGATCAAGCTTTGCACCTGGAGTTCATTACACTTCCACTACTCAAGTAGACGTCTACCGTCCTAGCTCTTTCACTCCAAATGGTGAACAACACCATGATAGGTCGCCAAATTGGCAAGCACCCTTGCGTAGCAGACTAACTTGATGAATCAGCTCCTGCAACAAACTGAGATGTAGCGTGCCCCAGACGAGGTGGCCCGAAGTAAGATAAGGGCAATGATGTTGTTTCTTTCCAGCAACATCCCGGCAAGCAACCTCTTGACCAACCAGGAACTGAGTGTTTTGGCAGTGTATGCTCTCGCTTGGGCCCTCGAGATAGCGTATACTCTCGTCTTAGTGGGCGAAGAAGCGTGCATTCTTGGTTAGACCCCTGGACGAGCATACATTAAACGTTAGGACCACATTCCTATAATCAACATAGACAACCTTTCAAGCAAAGTGTTCATTCGCAGCTAAGCTTGTAAAAAGCATTTTTCACCTCACATTGGAGTAAGCAATACGATAAACGGAGATGAGTAGTCGCTTAATCTAGCTCAAGTTCAACCGACAGCCTATGAGTAAACCTTCCACCTGCCAAGAATGTACTACATGCACCGCAGCCGCGGCATAGACGAACCGAGCATATGGAAGAGCAACTGAGACCAGCAGGTCATGATTGGGGGCAGCCAGAAGC